AAAACAACAGTTGCAGAAGCCAAACACCATAGTTACGTATTAGAAACAAAAGCAGCATTTTTGGCAATGAAGAAACTACGATATTACCTACTGGGCATCGAGTTCGACCTGATCACAGATTGTAACGCGTACAAATACACAACAACAAAAGAAGAAATATCTACATCAGTATCTCGGTACATAATGTACATGCAAGATTTTAATTTTACGGTGAAGCATCGGAATGGTAATCGAATGAAACATGTAGACGCGCTAAGTAGGTATGCAGTATTAACAGTGGACACGAAAAATGAGTTACGTTTGCGACTGGAAAAAGCTCAAAAGAGCGATGATCACTGCAAGGCAATTATGAATATACTAGAATCGAAGCAATATATGGATTACAAGATGATTGGCGACGTGTTGTTTAAGGAAACAAACGGACAAACTTTATTGGTGATTCCACGACTAATGGAAAGAGAGGTGATAAAAACTTGTCATGACCAAGGTCATTTTGGAGTTATGAAAACGGCATACCAAATCAAGCAGCAATTTTATATTTCGCATCTAGAGCAAAAAGTTGATAAATTAATCAAAAATTGTGTCAAATGTATTTTGTACAACAAAAAGCAGGGTAAGCTAGAGGGATTACTACATACAATTGATAAAGGCGATACTCCATTATGTACGTTACATGTAGATCACCTAGGACCGATGGATGCTACGTCAAAGAAATATAAGTATATTTTCGCAATGGTCGATGGTTTTAGCAAGTTTGTGTGGCTTTATCCGACAAGGTCTACTGGGGCTGAGGAAGTAATAACAAAATTTGAATGGTGGACTAAAATATTTGGAAATCCAACTCGCATTGTGAGTGATAAGGGCGTCGCGTTTACATCAAATGCGTTTGTGGAATTTTGTAAAGCAGAGCAAATCGAACATATCCTAACAACGACAGGCGTTCCAAGGGGTAACGGCCAAATTGAAAGGGTCAACAGAACAATTATCAACGTTATTTCTAAATTATCATGGGAGTCTCCTCATCAATGGTATCGTTTTGTAGGAGACGTGCAAAGCGCTATTAATAATGCAATTCATCGAACTACGAAATATTCACCGTTTGAAATCCTTTTTGGTATAAAAATGCGAAAGAACAGCGGGTACAACTCCATAAAACAAGCAATAGAGGATGAATTGATTCAAGAATTTGACGAAGAACGCAATATACTCCGACAACATGCGAAACAACAAATTGAAGAGGTCCAAGCAGAATATAAAAAAACATTTGATAGAAAGCGGAAAGAAGAGCGGGTATATAAAGCAGGCGACTTGGTCGCCATTAAACGTACTCAATTTATTCCAGGTAAAAAATTGATAAATGAATATTTGGGTCCATACGAAGTAACAAAAACCAAAAGCAACGGACGATACGATGTACGAAAGGCAGGTGGTTTTGAGGGGCCAAAGACTACATCAACTAGTTGCGATCATATGAAGTTATGGCGTTATGCAGAAGTAGATGAAGAACTATCATCCGGGTCGGATGAGGAGTCGGATGGCCGAATGTAGGCAGGAACGGGAAGATCTGGCAACGCCAGTAAAAACGAACGAGAAGAGGCTAAAAGAAACAAGTAGCAGTGGGTATTAAGTCGTCGTGGTAGTCAGTCGTTTGCGCGCTTTGATATATAGAACTAA